TAAATAAGTCCATTTTCTCCTATAAAGATTCTCTTTCTCTAAATTAGCCTGGAAAACCTCAATGAATTACATTTTTTAAATAAAACAAATAAGCAACAACTACCAAACAAAATATAAAAACTGAACTCAGAGGAAATAAAGTAGATTTAAGGGGAAAAGCCATATACATTAAAAACAAGTATCACTTACAAATCTGTTTTCTTTCAAAACACTCAAAATGTTTTTCTGTGTCATTAATTATTCTTCAGAATATGAATATGGTAGGTAGGGTGGGAAAAATGCTTCACTGTGTCTGTTGATCAAATGAAATTACTTTAATAGTCAGTTTTGAACTTAAATAAAAGAAAGAAAATACAATCATCCCAGTGGAGATGAAAGATAAACCAGTTGTGTTTTTGTGCACTCAATAACTTGGCTTCTTTTAAAGGGTGTTACAGGTCTTTGCAGAATCTATAAAATCTCTATTCTGTCAACCCAATTCAATCAGTAGAATCATGAGCAGGTCCTCCTGACAATGATATGTATCTACTGAGTTGCATTTAATTGGTTTTGTTCCTTCAGAAGTTGAACAGTTCATGCTAAGAAACTCTTGATGCTAGTATTACTATTATTAGCATTAATTGGGTGGTTACTTTATGTGAAACACCTTGCTAAGTGTTTTACTGGCATTATTTTATTTAATCCTCACAATTACCTAGTGAAATATTTCTCATATTTGCATATGAGAAAAGTGAGGCTTATGGTAGTTGAATAACTTGACCAATAGGAGTTTTTTCTCCAAATTAATTCATTAGTAGCAATTGAGGTTTGGAGACTTTTTTCATGGTACTCAAATGCCTTTAGTGTACAGTAGTAATTGATCAGGCCACTTCCCTTTCCATTTTCTGGTAGAAGCACACAGATCAATAGTATGTGGCACAGTTGAGATTTGAAACTGTGTATCAAATTTTGAACCTTTCTTATGTCAGAGCTGATGCTCTTAGCCCATTATTGTCCCATCACTAAGACATGTAATGCAATTATGTGGAAGATATTATGGTGGATTCTCAGAAAAATCAAGCAATTACCAAATGATTTAATGATTCTGCTTCTGTGTAAATACCCCAAAAGAATTGAAAACAAGGACTTACACAGATATGTGTGCACCAATACTTATAGCAGAATTGTCACAATAATCAAAAAGTGGAAACAACTAAATGTTCCTTGACCAATGAAAGGATAAACAAAATATGCCACATGCATACAATGGAATACTATTCATCTTTCAAAGGGAAGGTAATTCTGACCCATGCCAGTACTTGAAAACATTATGCTAAATGAAGTAAGCCAGACATGAAATTTTATATATAATTTCACTTATATAAATTCTCAGAATAGACAAATTCATAGAAACAAACTCAAATGGTAGTTGCTAGGGGCTAGGAGAAGTAGAGAATTTGGAATTTATAGCTTTGTGGGTATAAATTTCAGTTTGGAAAGATGGAAAATTTTGAAAGCTAGGTGGTGGTGGTAATGGGTGCATAACAGTGAGAATTCACTTACTGCCATGAAAGTGGACACTAAAAAGTGGTCAAAGTGGTACATTTTTATGTATCGTTTGCCGCAACAAAAATAATTATAACTTAAGCTTGCACTAACATATAAAGCTAAAGCCATAAAACAAAACTGTCATTTGAGATCTATTTTGTAAAGCGTGACCTAATCCTAAAGCCAACTTTATTCTGCTCACCAGTCCTATAAACCTCATACTTTGTTTCCACTAAAGATCAGCATAAGTAACCAACAGAACGGCTTTTTCAAGATCAGATATCAAATGAAAACCATGAACTACAAGTGTCAGGATGAAATCTAACAAAAATAGCTTATCTCAAAGACACCCAATAACATTAATCTTATTTCCTAATTACTTTCAAAGTGAACAAAATGAGAAAGAAACCTTGAAATAGTACTTGAGAAAACTAGTTAAATTTTTTCTTAAATCTATATATTGGGAATATTAAACAACTTGAAGAAATATTAATTACTTTTTATCACATATTGGAAGTTTTTCCACAATATTTTTTAAATAATTAAATTGGCTCATTTTAGTGCTCTTGATTCTGATCCAGTTTCATTACTTATACAAAAATATGGATAAGAAAAATGCTACAAGCATGAGTGTTCTTTGACTAATCATACTTTTTTGCTGTTCTTTTTCTTTCTTGTTCAGAATCTTCATAGCAATCAAATAAAATTTCACATTGTCCTCAATGCAGAGTTATATAAAGAGCCAAATGAACACTATAGTACTTACTGGATAAAAAAACCAAAGTACGTTCTCCAGAATGTCATACTTTTCCTCCCTAAAATTCAATGATCTTATAAACAAATTAATATAGGAACTAAAATACAATCCCTTTGACAAACTCACATTACCAGATATAGGCAAGTATGCCTTCTCAATTTTGCCATTATTTGCTTTTTCCTATGCTTAAAATATTCATTTCATATCATTTCATTGCTGACTTCTCATTTTCAGACTTCAGCTCAAATGCTACCACCTCCTTAAAAAGGCCAGCCCTGTCCATCACTTTGTCACTCTCCATAAGATCATGCAGGGTCATTTCCTTTAACACCCTCAAGGTTTCTGGTTTGTGTATGTGTTTACTTCTTTCTGTTTGCCTTCTACCATTAGGACAGGGGCTTCACAAAGACAAAGCAAGGATACCTTGTTTCCTCCTCTCTTTTTCATGTCCAGAAAAGTGGCAGGTTCACACCAAGTGAACTTGACCTTCCACTTTCTCTGCCTTGCAGCTATGTATGTGAATGAACGTGGAGACAAGCCCTCTGGGAAGCACAGACTGTGGCTATGTTTAGCTCCTCCCCTTATGGATGCTGCTATAGCTTTCTCCCATTGGACTGAGGGCTAGACAAGAAAAAGGCACTAACCTAGAAGATGTTGAGAAAGATTTATCTGGTTCATAAGCCTAATTCTACTCCACCCTCATTTTTTCCCCAGAATTCCTTGAGGGCAGTTACAAAGCAGTACCTGTTACCTAGGTGTCACAACCCACTGGGTGTATTGTCTTCTTGGGTACCCTACGAGGAGGATGGGGTGTGTTTTCTCATCATAATACTATGCTAGCACCTTCAAATGACATGATATTCCCAGCAAACTACAAGAATGAGGTCAGCCTACCTTTCTTACTCTGTTCTATGAAGATCTGTCTTATGAAAGCATTAGTTCTGAATCCACTGGGAGCAAAGTGAACCAAATAAATGAAAAGTATACTTGTCTTTCCACTTAAGAGATGGAAAAGCCATGCAACATCACTGGCCTCTGGATCCTTGCTATATTACTTAATAAAACAAAGAAAGGGAGCAAAAACAGCAATGAAAAAAATTTAAGATCCTCCCAACTATGAATTTTCATGATTCTTGTGTCATATGTTATGTAGGTAGTAAGAATGAGACTGTTGAGAGTAAATAGCTTGAAATAAGGCATCCTGATCAGTCATTTATTTTGTTTTAAAGGGGTCTCCATTCAATATTCAAAACTAAGATTGTGTTGCTCAACTCTGACAAATACAGTTGTTCCCCAAGCATGACAAACTGCTAATTCTCCCCCTTCTTTTGTAATAAAGAGAACTTTTCATTGTTAGAAGGTTCATGGCCACCCAAGATAACAAATTACATTTTCTTGTCTTTCTTACAAGTAGGTACATGCATATGAATAAAATTACAAGGCAGATTGAACCTATGCCCTTGGAGGAATGGGCATGGCCTCCCTGACTTTCCTTCTTTCCTAATAGATGGAATTTGGATGAAGCAGTGAGCCGTCCTGAGGCATGAGGGAAAGGTAGCACCATAGAGATGGAAAAACATGGGAAACGGCCAGGGTCCTAACCCTCTGAAGTCACATACGGCCTAGATTAGTTGTTTCCAGATTGCTAGATGAGATAGAAAAACACATTCCTGTTGCATGAGCTACTGTCATTTGTCATTTCTGTTTCAATCATCAATGTAAGTTAGAACTTACATTCTAACACAGTGAACTTTCTTTGCTGATTTAGAGATTGCTTCATAGTTTTGCAAAACTTTGCAATTGGAAGGGACCTTCAAGGTTATCCTACCTCCTTACTATATTGAGGAGGAAATTAAAACTAGAGGAAGAGACAAATTTCCTGTGCCCCACAGATGGCTTGTAGTAGGACTGGAACTAAATCTCCTTGAGTTTCAGTTCATTCTTTCTCTTTGTAGTCTAATTCCTTGATCACCACTTTGGAAGCTCAGGCATGCGTTCCTGGGTAACTTTCTACCCGGGACTCAGGGCCTTTTATCCCCATACAACACACAAACAGCTGCCACCCTACGTATTCCACCAAGGCTGCTCACACTTCCATTACAGGAAGGAAATGTGACAAGGGGAGGTCCAGGACCTGTCCTGACACACCTTGTTTGAATAATGGGAGAATCAGGAGAACTCATGCCTTCATTTCTTGTCTTGCTGAATCTGGCTTATAAAGTTTCCTTTTTCTCCAGTTAAACTGCTTCTTCTTCCCATGACATAGCATTGTGAAGAACAGCAGTTGTAAATTCAGAAGACACCTACATTGTATAACTGTTTTATAATATTACGAGTATTGATTATCATTCACATGCAATTTGATAATAAAAGAAATTTTCGAAAACAGCTAACAATGGGGATAGCTTGTTACTGTCAAAAGAACAGAACAAAAACCAAACAAATCATTTAAATAGCCACATGTGCCCAATCACAGCTCCATTTGGACAAGGGAAGACATTGGTATAGTTGCAATTAAGAAAGTTGCCAAAGGTCCCATAGAAAGTAAAAGACAGATCCAGCTATTAGCAAACACAGTCTTTGAGCTTCTCTTGCATTTCTGCCTATTTTCTTAAAGTCCCTACAGACCGTGCTTGCATTTCACTGATGAAGCTTGGAGTTTATATTTGCATTTCACAGAATTCCATTTTTATTTGTCACATCCAACATGCCTTACCATCTGCATCTTCATCAAACACTGGTGGTTTGCTTGAAGTATTGGCTCCCATGGTCAAGTCTGCCCTAACATGGACCTCTAATTACATTATCCTGCAGAAACACTCGTCTTTGTTCAAAACAGGTCCTGAAAACTTAGCTGGATATCTAGGAAAAAATAAAAAGAAATGATATCTCTATAATATGGTATTTGGTAGATGTCCTGAGTACAGTCTTACGTGAAATATTAGTCTGCATTGCTGCAACAGAAATTTTTGTCATTGAAAATACCGATTTCAGAAACAATAAAACAGGGAGCAACAGGAGAACCCACTGTGTGATTTCATCAATAGCATATGTGAACTAACAAAAGTAGATATTTTTCTAAGTGTGAAGAAAGTTTAAAATGAGCTCAGCATTGCTTTATTTGACTACATAATAAAATAATCTGTGAATCTCTATATTTTTAAGAAAGTCTACAAATTTCAGATTTTCTTTTTTTCTGTGAGACCAAAAACAACTTGCCTTGTCTTTCCCCTGCCCTGTAAGGTACCATGCAATAAAAGGAGCAAGTTCTGGACTTGGCTTTACCACACCAGCAAGTGACTGAATTGCTCCAAACATGTTTCTTTTTTTCCTTCCGTTTAAGGTAAAGATAAAGACTTACCTCAAAGAAGAGTTAAATACACATTTCACTCTTTATAAATGTATTACTTTTAACTCTTTTTAAATATACTACATATAGGATGTTAACACCTTATGTTATGTCATATGTATGTGTATGTTATATCATATTTATGAATGCACTTATCTTTTTCATTTGTTTTTTTGTTTGTTTGTTTGTTTGAAACAAGGTCTTGCTATGTAGCCCAGGCTGGCCTCCAATTCATTATCCTCCTGTCTCAGCTTCCTGAGTGCTAGGATTACAGGTGTGCGACACCACACATAGCTCTAAATACATATGTCTTTATGTATTGAGCTACACAAGTGTTGATATATATATATACACTTAACTCAATACATAAGCAATTTTTGCAGCATAAGTGTTGAATGATTGTGACTACTCTAAAGTTCAAATGATATATCTGAGAGATTAAAAATCCTTTTTAGAAAGTACACATCTTTCCTTTTAAAACATAGTGGTAAAGAATCTTGCTTTCTCCCAGGCACTGGTGATTCACTCCTGTCATCCCAGCTACTCAGGAAGCAGAGATCAGGAGGATCATGATTCAAAGCCAATTCACACAGTCCCCAAAATGTAACATGCAAAGAATCGTTGTTAGCTTCTGCTATTTTTGATAAAAGCAATACTTCCTTACCAGGCTTTATTTCTTAATTGCTGACACTTGTTTGATTTCCACCTGGACTTTTTACACATGAAGGAAATACGGTTTAGAAGCAGGATTAGAGAAAATGCCCAAGAAATCTGGGCTTGGGAAGCCCTTCCGCAGGTAAAGAAGAAAAGCTCATTTTGCTATTAGGAAAAATGTAAGCAGACCTTCATTTGGAAGGCAGCTTCATTAAGGAATTGCTACTTTTCATACTAAAAGCCAACTGCTGGCAAAGAGCCTGTGGACTTAAAAAAGAATCATTAAATGGAGGAGAAGGAGAGTCAGCAATTAAGAAGCCACCAATTAAATGGGATGGGAGGGAAAAAGAGGCAGGTGGCGACAGGTGGCTAAAGGAATCAGTGGGATTATTGAGATGAGGAAGATAGAAAGAACTCTGCAGTCTCTGTAGGCTCAAATCCAAAAAGCTTTAAACTACAGTGAAAAACTGAATTAAGAAGAAGCATTGGGATGTCATTTCTATTTTATTGAGGGCCAAAGCACAAACAGGCGCCCTTTGTGTTTTATTCTTTCACTTAGAGTTCAGAGCAAGTGGGGAATAGTGCAAGGCCCTAACCACTAAAGGCACTAAAAAGAATCAGTCCTAAAAATATCATGAATCTTAAAGGATTTGACCACTAACACTGCAGACTTGGGATGCAGTCTCTTATTTGGGGCTTAAATCTGAATACATGAAGTTTTCACACAACATTGAAGTCCTACCATTTGCGTATTTTTCTTCATACCTCAGGGGTTTTTTTTAGTAGCTCACCTTCCTGCAACAGGAGACATGCCAAGTATTGGCCTTGCACGTTGTCAAATCAGAAGGCAAAAGTAGGTGGAATATTATCACAATTGTCCATGTTTCAGAGTTTCATTCTGATGTGCAATTTTCTTGAGTACATATCCACTGATTTTTTTTTTGTAAAACATATGTATGTGTTTATTTATATTTTTATTTTCATATTATTGTTTTACTGGGGGCACACTGATATTTACAAAAGTTCTTACAATATATTATAGTTGAATTCACCCCCTCAATCATTCTCCTCTATCATGCCAGCCCATTCCTGGAATAGTTTCAACAGGTCTCATTTTTCCATTTTCATACATGAGCACATAATATTCCCACCATATTCACCCTCCTACACCCTTTCCTTATATCCTCCTGTCACACACACACACACACACTGGTACACCCCCAGACAGGAACTGTTTTGCTTTCCTGTCCTCTATTTTTGCAAAAAGACATTTTTGTTTCCTTAAGATAGCTATACAGGGTGTTTCATCTTGACATTTCCATATGTATATATGTGTGTTATAACCTGAATTAATTCATCCCCTCTATTTTTCTCCTTTCAACCTAGTCCCCTTCTTCTGGTGATTTCAACAGGGTTAAAAATTCTATATTCATACTTCTATAGAAACTAGAGGTGAGAAAATACATGAAAGGGGAACCACTTTTATGTATGTTTAGGGGAGAGGCAGATAGACAGAGCTAACACATTACACTTGACACACACAATCCAGCTTAGAATTGTCTTTGTCTTCTTCCCCTCATGTGGATAACCAGATTAGATAACTTTCCCTCAACATCCAGAAAGAAACCAGCCTTTCTCCAGCAGGAAAATAAACTCATTCTTTCTATTCTGCTGAGTAGAGCCACAGTAGAACTGCAGGACTCTCCTCCACCAAACTCCCTACCCTTTCCGGCCTTCTGGTTCTAAGTCCACAGCATTCAATAATCACAGCCAATATGCATGCAAGTGAAAATTCTACACATAGGAGGAGAAATTTGTCCTGCAAAAACACGAGGAGTGTTCTGATTCTACCTTAACCCAGTAATCAGCATTTCAGCTTTGGCCTGTACTTTGCGGGATTATCTAGAGGAGCTGGAGAACATACAGCAAGGTACAAGAAATTTGCAACTTCTAATAGAACAGTTTTGATTTCACTGTCACAGTATGTGCACAGAAATAACTTATGTTTTGCATTACAAAAACACAACTTCTTAAATCGAGGAAAAAAAGAAAACATGAAACACACCCAAGTTAACACTCTCAGTTGACAATTGCTTTTTTTTTTCAACTTCAACATTTTAAGATATTAAAACTTATTGGTCAATTTTATTTCCACATTTATCATTGTGCCAAGTTGATTGCTCTTTCATAGCCCCAAAAAGCAGCCACAATCATAAATCCAGTGTAAAATTTACCCTCCACTTTCTAGGATTTTCCATTCATAAATCAACTAAGTGCCATTACGAAAGAGACATATTTTGCTTCTTGTGTTCATTTTCCTGCTATTTCTGCATGTTGATCTCTAACTCTGATTTCTGCTTTTTAAGTGCTGCATAGCAGTCCTGGCGTGAATACAACATATTTTTCTTTTCTAAGTAAAGATGTTCAAATCCTTCGGCCTTGAACGGGAGTAAGACGGAGTCAACCATTTAAAACAGTTTTAGCTTGCTTTGAAGTTGGATGAAAGAAACAAGCAGAACACCTCAACTCACTTATCTCAATCCAGCAAATATTCATTCAAGTCTATGGGCCTGAATCTAGAAGCTGGGGGAACAGGTGACTTGGTCCCAGTCCCAGTCTGGTCCTGTGAGTTACCTTGACTAAGGAACTGCCTTTGTGTTATTTCGCTTCCCCTTTCCCTTCCCAATTCCCCAGCACTGTCCTTAAGATGCAATTTTATTACACGTGTACACCCACTACCCACCTGGTCTTCCTTCAGTCCTCCCAGGAAGCTTAGAACGATGCTTGCATCCTAGGAACCTGGCTAAAGGGAGCAAGGCGGGAATCGAGGAAAGACACCCACCTGGCTGGACCCGCGGCGGCTGCGACAGAGCGCGGGGCAGGCGGCACCTGCGGCTGCCGAGACTCGGGGCGCCTGCGGCGGAACTGGGCGCGCAGCTCCCGAGGGACGCGCGGGTCCCCGGTGGGCGGGGAGCGCGGTCTCCAGTCGCCAGGAGCCGCCGGGCGGTCGCCTGGGGCGCGCGTCACCGGCGGGGGCTGGCGGGGCCGGGGAGGGCGAGGCGGGCGTGGAGTGTGGGCGCGGTTCCGAGACCTCGGCGGGATCCCGCGGCGCCTTGGCTCTGTCTGGAGCCGCCGGGACGCAGAGCGCGCCCCAACTTCCCGGACTGGGGCGAGGTTCCCCTGAAATGACCCTTGGAAAGGATCCGGGCAGCGCTGCGAGGTGTTGGACGTGGGCTGACAGGTACCAGCATGGAGATCTCAGACAGAGGAGGCGACGCTGCCCTCGGACTTCCCTGGGGCAGTGGGGGAGACCGGAAAGAGTGTCCAGAAGGTTCAGGTTCCAACAGGAAAAGACCCCTTAAGGACAGTGGCCCGGTAGATTTCCTCCTTTTACTGCTGGGGAAATGAGGCACAGAGACAGGACATACTTGCCCAGTGCAGGATAAGTTAATCTTTTGGAGATCCAGATCTCCTGCCCCCAAGTCCTCCAATCCCCCAACCTTTCCAGACCTTCCGCAAGCTGACCCTCACCTTCTGCTCGGAGTAGTGGGGGAGGGGGACAGATGGCGCAGAGAAGAAGGCAACCCCAGGGGGAAGTTTTCCTTGGCAGCTCCCTCTACTTCCCTTTGTAACAATCAACACAATTGAAATAATAACTTCTTACTGTTTTCCTCTAACCCGAGTCTCGCGCACTTCAGCCAAGGAGAGCTGGCTCGTGGGTCGCGCCGGACCTGGGGAGTGCGCCACAGCCAGCAGCCCTGGCGG